ACAAACATTTATTATAAAAAGAAGAAGCGTCCATATAATGCCAAAATAATAAAATATGCGCGCGCGCTAACTTCCCTATTTTCAAATAGTTTTTTTTTTCAAACATACACAAAAAAAAATGAAAACAAAGGTGAAAATAACAATAATAACAAGAAGAAATTAGAATTATATAATAGGAAAAAATAGCACACTATTATATTGTACCAGCGGCTATTTCTCACAACGTGCACCCAACCAAACAGGAGAAAAAACATAAAACCAAAAATAAAATATTAAAATAAAATCATAAAAATTCGAATATACATAAATGAAAATAGTTTGTTTAAAACTAGTTTGCTGAACGCATCCTTTTTCCCTATTCAGTTTGTTCCTTTCTTTTAATCTTTTTTTCCAAATAATTCTGAATTATTAAACAATAGCGCCACTGGATTTTGATTACAATATTTAAAAAAGGAAATTCGAACGCGTAAATGCACCCTGAATTTGTATTCTTTCTGTTTTTTTTTTGTTTTCATTTAATAATTTGAGCTTATGCTTCTTTCGCTTACTTCTATCAGTTCTACAATTGCATGCTAGTTGCTCTTTATTCATCATGTTACCTACTGTCTCAAAAAACTGTGCAATAAATTTAATAGTTTATTGTTATTTGTAAAGTAAAAAAAAACGTGAACATCAGGAATATCCTGTTCCAATTTTATTTTACTATACCTAGCTGATGAAAACTATCCACACGGGCCCACATGTAATTACGAGTATATCTAAAATTATGCAAAAAAAAAGAGAATTTTCTTATTAAAAATTTTAAACTTTTCATTTTAAATTTATCAAATACAAAAAAGTATAAATTAATTATTAATATTCAATTTTAGTTTACCAATACAATTAAAGTATCGTTCAAAATGTCCAATGCTGTAATATAAAGGAGTAGATACCTAATACATAAATTAAAAAAAATAAAAAAAAAGATGCTAAATTACTTCCGTACCCCTTGGTGAGTTATTCATAGAGGTGCATTATGGGTTTTCATCTTATACTTTAAATTTCTTTTGTGATCATAAATTTGTGAAAAATATTATTCTATTTTTAAATAATTAACACCATAATACCAACAAAAATTCTATGCCTTAACCACTGAACAATGCACTTTTGTAAACAAAAATACGAATTTATGGCATTACTACAAGAATCGAGACAAATTTTCTTTAAAAAGCACAAAGGATACAAAATATAAACCTAAATTAATTCAAGCCCTTTTATCATTGTCTATTTGCATGTAAATTTTTTTTAGATATTTTAGGAGTTTTTGTGTTTAAAAAATATTTTTGCAATATTTCTTCGGTTTTTTGTAAAACAATATATAAAAGCAACGTGAGACATCTTTCCTAATACATTTTTTGTTTAATTTAAAAACTTTAATGTTTAAGATTGCAGTTTAGTTAGATAATGGTAGACAACATGTTAATCGAATTATGTTTAAAATTATGAATATATGTAGGAGTCATAGAATGTGAAATGTGTATGCAATTTCGGATTACATTTTCCATCTGCATAATTTTTGAACAGAGAACAAATAAGTTTTAGTAATATAATTTGCTATTATTATAAAATGACATAAGTAATTAAGTGTACAATTGTCAAATTGACATAACTTCATCTGCCCAATTAGTCTGTTAATGAAGAATTTATTATGGCCAATTACTGTCTGCTTGAGATAGGTATGCAATTAGAAAAGATTTTTAAAAATATAATTAAGAAAGATACATGCATTCATTTACAAAACACATTACATAAACTTTAATTGTATTAAAAATAAATGTTATTCTCAGCTTATATGTGCGTAATTGCTTTACAGTCAAAAACCTACCTACATACTACATAGGTATAACATTTAACTTTCTTAAAATGAAGTTCTTCCCAACACGAAGAACATTGATGTTATAATATTGTCTCTAAAACAGAAAATTAATAGATACCTATCAAGCCGAAATTTTCTCAAAACCGAACAAGTTATTGGATCATAATCATAATACGTCTGTTATAACATACATATATGTATATGTATAGGTATATTGTGTGCGCGAATAAATTCTTATAAACTATGTATGTATTTATGTATATAAATGTTTAAATTACCACCAAGCCTTTCTAGTTACTTAAAAATGCATTTCACTTAATACAAAATTAATTAGTTTGCTATAAACTATTTACATGAATATGTATTTAATTTATATACCTTACAAGTCTATAGTGGAAAATTCTGGCACATGTTACTCTCAATTTAATTTCTCGATTACAATTCGCTTGTAATCTTTTGTAAGTGGTTAACTAACATTTTGACGAAAATTAAGCTGCTCGGAGAGAACATCATTAAATTTCATATATTTTCAAATGTGATTACTCTTATAGCTAGAAACATAGTAGAAGACGAGATTGACAGTGGACGTAAGAGTTAAGTAACAAGACAATTAATATTTTTGCAAATTGTTAATGAGAAAAAGTATCAAGATGCAAATGTAAGTTAATCTCTTTGTCCACTTACTGCTTCAATTGTTATTGAAATATAATGCTCCACTCAAATAATGTACGTATACATAAGTATGTAACTATGTACTTGCACAACATTGTTAACATTGTATGTTTTTGATTGCATGTATGTATGTATGTACATTCATTTTTATTCAATCATTCAAAATTAGATACCATATTAAATTATGTACACACTTACATACTTTTTTCGTTTATATAATAACTTTCTTTATTAAAAACACAATTCCATCGAATAATATGCAAAACGAGAAAAGCTTTCGAAAAGTTCTAAAAAGCAAAAAAATATTTAAAATAAGCAACAAATGTACATATATATGTACATACTTTGCATTATTTACCCACATACTTATTCCCAAGGCAATAAACTCTTACAAAACAAATAATAAATTAACAAAGCCAAAAAATTTATCAAAAAATTATACGCAATAATTTCGCTTCTAACCTAGTCACCTAAATAACTTTTTTTTTTCTACTTCACTACTACTACTACTCATTTTTATTAGCTTTTCCTTCTTTTTTTTACTTACACTCAAGAATCAACTATTCTGAGTAAAAATAAAATAATAAAAAAAAAATTAAAAAAACTTTATAATAATAATAACAATAAAAACAATAAAAACAATAAAAAATATATCGAGCAAAAACAAATTTGCAAAAATTCCAAAGAATCACCATATGTTGACAAAAAAACTTAAAAACAACACAAATCAAAATAACAAAACTTTAAAATATACCCAAATAACCCCACTGGATGATGATATTAATAATGAAAAATAAAAAAAAATCCAAAAAATGCTTAAAAAATACTTAAAAAATCGCAAAAAAAAAGTCAAAACAACAACAAATATAAAAAAAATAACAACATAAAACAGAAAGCAAAACAGCAGTAAAAGAAATCCCATAATACGAAAGAAACAAGTAAAACAAACATAACCAAAAAAGATAGAAGAAAATTAAAGTCATGTGACGTCACAAATATAAAAAATATTCGCAGTTCACTGTTCACTGACCGACTTTCCATTCAACTAAACAAGAAAAACAATAACAATAAATAAAAAAAAAAGAAAACAACGCAAATTTACTACAGAAATACAAGAACTCAACATCACGTTTTAGTACTAAATTCTACGTTTTCATAATTATTTGTTTTTATTTTTTATTATTCAATTCTTATTGTTGTTTTTGTTCCAATTCTTTATACTATTATTATTATAATTCTCTTTATTTCTTAACTTAATTCCACAATTACTCATAAAATATCTTATATCTCCATTCTCCAAATGTATTGAAAATAGGTAGTGTGTGTAAAACATTGTTGGGGAGAAAACTTTTAACCGTAATTTTCTTGTAGAATTATTTGAAAGTTTAAAATATATAAATTTGTAGAGAATTACAAATGCTTTTTAAAGAGTAAATAAAAATAAAATACAAAATAAAAATTACCCAAAAAAATTCCCCAAAGAGTGCAAAAAGGGGAGTAAAATAATTCAAAAAAGAAATTTTACGTTTAAAAAATAACATACTCATATGAATATCACTTTTACGATATTAATTTAAAAAATAAAAAGGAGAAATCTTTCTCTCAGTTATTATTTCACATTTTCACCATATAAAAGGTAATTTTTCCCATTCAATCGGTAGTTTTTTTTTACCGGTTCGTTTTATAATATCGTAATATTATTTTTCTTCTTTTCCTTCTTTTTATTAATAAAAACAGTATTATATAGGGCTCTCTGTCTTTTGCTTTCTAGTTGCTGGTAAATTAATAAGATTGATTTTTTTTGAATACAAGATACATACTCTTTCAACCAGTGGGCTTATAAGCATAATAATAAATTAACCTAGAGATAAAAAAATTTTGTACGTATTTTTAAATGATTTTTTATTTAATATCTTTAGCGTATTGCTCTGTTCGTACTTTTATGTGTGTGTGAAATTTATTATAAAATTGTCGGCCATTATATTAGAATGAAAGAGATAAACATATAACTTATACATTATTCAGCTTAACTTATTTCTGATATAAAAGAAAATAAAAAAAAAACATTTTTTGTTGTACAATTTGCTGCTGCTGCTGTTGCTGCCGTTGTTAATGAAATCAGTAAGGGGAAATTTGAAGAAAAAACAAGAACAAAAAAGTTACAAAATAAAAAGAAGACAAAAACACAAAATCAAATTTAAGGTTTATTTTTTTTTTTTAATATTTTTTAAAGAGACTGCGAAAGCATTATAGATATTGAGTTGATGTAGAAAAGAGAAGTAAAGATAGCGTGAAAAAATAATGAATTTTGTAGAGCTTGCGTAATGCGTAGTTTTATAAAATTTTAATTTTTAATATATATACACACACACACACAATACGTAATTTTACTGTAGTTTTACTGTAGATTTTGTATCCGAACTTTATACTTTACTTTATTTTTCATTTTTTGTTTGCGTTTTTTTTTTCATATTGAAGCGACTCTCAATTTTGCTGTGATTCCAATTTAATTTAGTTGAATCATTAGCTTGTGGACATCAGACTTAAGTAGACGTGTTGTCGTTGCGGGTAAAAAAAAATAAAATAATTGTAAATTTTCTTATTTGGTTGTTTTAGTTTCGAGGTCGAGTATAAGAAAAAAGTTTTTAAAACGTTTATAATTTTTTAAAATAAATCGATAAAGTTTAATATTAATTTATAAAATAGGTTTTCAAAACTTCAAAAATAAATAGAGTGTAAAAAGAATATTGAATTTAGTAAAAGAAAAAATAAAAAATTATTTTTAAAATTTTCAAATATGCATAAAATAAAATCAAATTTAATTTTTAATATAAAAGAAATTTTAATTTGTAATTTGAAAAATAAAAATGTTTAAAATATTTTGTCTTCAATTTTCAAACATTTGAGTAACTATGGTTAATAACTATAATAAAATATTTTTATACATCTGTAAGTAATTATTGTTAAAAATCGATAAGCTCGTATAGTACAAAATAAATTCGTATTATAAATAAAATAAAATTAAATTTATAAAAATAATAATAAAAAAGACGGATTTTAATGATTTTATATTTATTGAATTTAAACTTATTACTCTAATATTGAATTGATCGGAAAAGAAATAAAAAAGCAAAAATTAATAATTTAAGGAAAATGACAGCAAGCCATATGCAATTACAACAACCTAGATTGGTTAAACCTATTGGTTTACCAACTAATGGATCTCGACAATTTTTACCAAATTCATTTTCATTTGATACTCCACCACCACCAGCAGTTGCAGCTGCTATTGCAACAGTTGTTAAAACAGTACCGAGAACAATAGGTACAAGGCGTTGTCTTTTTGGCAAACCCGAACCTGGTTCAATTAAAGCAATTTACAAAGAAGAGGTAGAACGCCAGAGGCAAATTACAATTAATAGATTTGGATTTGATGTTAAAACAGAAAAATTTGTTAATAATACAGATGACAAAAATTCGAATACAAATATTAGTAATAATTTAATGACTGATACCAATAATGTTGAACCATCAATTTCAGCATCATCTTTATCATCACCATCATTAACTTCATCATCATCTTCAATATTACAAAACAAAGACGAAACGTTAAATGTACAAGAACAACAAGAGAAAATATCTACATCAATTTCAGAACAGCTTTCAAGTGATAATAGTCTTAATAATAATTATAATAACGTTAATATAAATAATACTGATTATATTAAAAATAACGAAGAAAATAAAAAAGAATGTCCTATTGATAGTAATAGTAATAATAATAACAAAGTAACATCAGTAATAAATTGTGATGAGGCCAGAGGCAATATATATAATAATATTAATAATAATAATTGTGAAACTACATCAATAACAACAACAAAATTGAATTGCAATAATAATAATAATAATAATAATAGCAATGAATGTGATTTTTATTCGTGCAATCAGAATACAAATAATTTATTAAATAACAATAATATTATTAATAATAATTATAATGATATAACGGAAGCAATATTATCATCATCATTACCTTCATCACCGTCATTATCATTATCACTGATTTCACCAATGAAATCAATTAAAAAATCAAGTGAAAAGAAAAGTGAAAGAACGCAACCCTATTTAAAACAGAGTAGAATAACTGGTAAGTTAAATTCTTAAATTAAATTCATTTTTTAAATTAATAAGACGCAACTATACCAATAACAAATTGAAATATTTGCTTTAATTATAAGTATGAGAAGATAGAATTTTGTTCAGGCAAGAATTTTATAAAATTGATTTTTCATTTCATAAATTTTCAAACTGGCTTAGTATAAATAAACTTACATGTGTTACCTTATATTGTTAATTGTATGATTGCCGAAGTATTTACAGATATGTCTAAATTGTAAAAATAACATTCAATTAAAAAAGGTACCTATTTAGTGAGCATTCAAGTTTGACCCTTCCATATATACCTTCATGACTATTCTATTATCAATAAGTTCACATTTTTTTTTTGAATGTGTATCATATCATAATTTTAACTTTAAGTACAAAAAAAAACATTCACTTTCACTATTTTCCAATTTTTTTCATTTTATTTTTCATGCTCACGAGAAAAAAATTTTTTACTCACAATTATCACCACATTTTTATAGTAGATTTTCCCTCCAAAAGTAAAAAAATATATTTATACACTAATACTTTTTTTTTTATTTTAATTTAATTCAGAATTTATTATTTACTTTCTTTTACCGCCAGTTTATTGATGACAAAATTTTGTTTTTGATCTTGCGTAAAAAAAAACACAATTTCTATCTATACTTATTTAAGTATTCCTGCGAAAGAAACGCGAAAATATTTTTGGTAAAATGTTTTTTTTTTATGTTTTATATAAGTATATTATAAAATACATACTTAGTATATTTATTTAGCTTTATTTTAAATCTTGTTACTAAAAAGTAGACAAAATAATTTTTCTTAATTTAAAATCGCGCCAAATTCATTTTATTTATACTTAAGTAAATTTAAATGAAAAATCCAAAATTTATAAAAATACACTTAACTACACAAGTGTGGTTCACATGTATAAAATTTAAATTTAAATATTTTTACAATTATTTTGACTTAAACTAACTACATACTCATGTATGTATGTATATTTAAGTGATGATAATTGATAGCATTAAAATTAGATCTGAAACACTTAGAAAAGGGAGAATTTATTGCATTTATAGTTTAAAGTTTTATAATAGCAAAATTTGTTCAATTATTTTCACCCCATATCAAGTGTTAATTATTATTCTTTATTTTTTTTTCCATATTTACATCAAAATCAATTAATTTCAATCAATTCTCTAACTGTTCATAACTATCTATTTATTAATTTAAGGGTAGAATCGGGTCAATTGAATAGCTTTTAAACAAGTGAATAAAAAATTTATAAGTTTTATTTCAAAACAAGTTTCTCCCAATTAGTTACTTATATAAGTTGTAAAGTAAAAAAAAATAGTGATCATATTAATGGTCTAAATATAAGTATATAAAAAATTTCGCCAACATAGCGAATAAAAGTCGAAATCAGTAGCAAAAGTACTTACATAAGTTACTAATTAATAATTTATATTAATTAATAATTTAATTAATTAATTAAAAGAATATTTTAAATTTTGCCTTATAAGATCTTACAAGATTTTACGTAGATACTATCAAATTATTAATTAATTATTATGTCTACAAAAAATACTTAGGGTAAGTATATATGTACTTGTACATACAAGTCAAAAACAATTCAATTGTTTAGAAATACTTTATTTCCGGGTTCATTAAGTCTTATTATTAATATTAAGTACCAATACATTAGAACAAATGAGACTTCACCAGTATGATTGTATTTATTTTGCAAATAGTATTTTATTTTATATAAAATAAATGTATATGTAGGTATATTGTGAAAATATTCAGTTATATATTGATTTGAGATGAGTTAAAACAAATAATCAAACACTTGGAATTTTAATTTAATCGTTTTATACACATTTAATCGCTTTTATTACTTTATACAATTAAAGTACAATTATTAAATAAAGAGATACTAGTATTAAGAAAGAAATTAGTATTTCGGGACAGATTTACTCAATATTCAAATTGAATAAAATATAATTACCTATACTTGCATATTGTAAATATATATTACGTGGTTGCATTGTTTAAAAGGAAAATACATGAGGTACCTGTCCTACTTATTTTATCTAAATCGGTGCATACTTCCTTTCTTTACCTACCCAGTTTACATACCTGTTTCTTTTATAATAAAGAACAGGAAACTTGTAACAAATTATAAATATACATCGTACTCACATACACACAACATGAAGTACATTATTCTTATGCATTTAACTGCATGTGATATTTATTAATGTGTAATTTTCGTACCAAATCCTAAGAGCAGGTAATTTTAAAAATTTTCTCTCTTCTTGCAAAATTAAATTTCTTTTTACAAAGTATACAAAACAAAATAAATTTTTTTTTTCTTTTTATTAATGAGATCAATGAGGAGTAAAAAAAAATTGGCGCGCAAAATTTTCTCATAAGTATTCCATTTGTATTATAAAAACGTCTTTCACCTATACAAAAAAAATGACAAAAACAAAACGGAAAATATGCGACAAGTTTTGTTTTCATTACTTGTCGTAGGTATGTACATGTGTTCGAACATAAATATATACACTTACGTACATATGGTATTTGGAAAAAAAAATTGTGATTTTTATTTTTACTTTTTTTTCCTTTTGAATTTTTAAGGATTCAAAATTGAAGGATATATTAAGTAAAAGGAAAAAAGTATGAAAAAAATAATAAACATCTGTTTTCCTTCCTTTCTGTAGTAAAAATTCAACATTTTTGAAATTCTTAAGGCGCAAAAATCAAACAACCCCAAGTGTAAAAAGATCCAATTGGAAATAAAATGGAAAAAAAATTCTCTTACCTTTCTTCGACTAAAAGGAAAAAGTTAAATAGTTATGTTTTTTTTTTAAGACTAGCGTTGCGATGAGAATTTAATGTTGATTTGTTTCAATTTTCTCGCTTGCTTATGTTGACTTAAGAATTTTTAAAGATTTTTTTAAGTGGAAGAAATAGATTATTGTTAATGAATTATAAAATTAGTTGAACAATTTCAGTTAATTGCTTACTAAGGCTATAATAATAGGTTTCAAAAATTTTCAAAAGAAAAATTAAGAAATAATTTAAAGAAGTATGTTCGAAGACTTTTGGATAGATTCATAAGAAAATACATTAAGAAATTCATATGAAAAATTTTGAAAGCGAAATGCATCTAAATAAGCTATCTAAAAAATTCTAAATAAGCTATTTAGAAAACTTATTGAAAAAATAATTTAATTGTAAAATCTTAAATCAACAAGAAAATTAATTAAGTACTTAAAATCTTGAGATGTAATAAGCGAATTCGGCTCAGTATTTAAAAATTTTTGTCTCCTTTGATGTGATCACACCACAAGAAAAAAATTAATGACCCGGTGCATAAATATATCACAAATTGCAATGGGGTTGTATTATTCTCGTTACTCTATAAGAAGCATAGTGTCCAATTCATCTCAGTTTGTTTTGAATAAAATTTATTATTAGAACACTTCTAATACTGAATCATAAAACAAGCATATTTTTTTTCATATAAGTATTTTGTCGTTAAAACTAGATTGACTTATTTTTTATTTTTCAATATATAAAATAAATATGTATGTATGTATAACTACAAAATCTACTAAATACATATACTTATATAAATAATACTATTGTCAAAAAAAATGATCAAACGTGACTGTACTAAAATTAAAGCTAAAAAACAAAATAAACAAAAAAAAAATCCAATAAAAAAAATTGAAATAAAAAAAACAACACATACATATATATGTACGAATGTACATACATACATACGTATACTTTCAATTTTTATAAAGTCAAATTATAATTTTTCTTATCTCAAATCAGTGTTACCAAATTATTGAAAATTTTACAAAAAAATTGTTTTCGTTCTTAATCTACCTTAATCTATACGTAATTAAATTTTCCAATTAATCGCAATAACTGTAAAATATAGTTTAATATTTTGTAATTACTTAAATCAATTAATTGAAAATTATTTTATTTAAATTTAATAACTAATTTTCAACAATTTTTTAGAAAAAAATTTGCTTTTATTTATAATTACATGACTATTACAAATACTTAGTGGATAAACTTACAAACGTACATGAAATTTGTTGCTATGCGTTCATATCTTGTATAGATATGCTTATCTTCGTATTATATATACCTACATACATACATATGTAGTAAATAGAATGTATTTTATTTTGTCCCATTAGAAGTAATAAAATCCTTGTATATCTACTGACTTTACATAATAATTATTAATAAATTGATAACTGTGTGTTAAAATTTTAATTAACACGCATAATTAATTTCTATCAATCGAATAATTTGAAAATTATTAAGACTAATAATTTTGTTATTAAGAAATATACGTTTTATGAGGAAATTTTCTGTGCAGACCATCAATCACTTTTTTTCTAAAAATTGATAAAACATTTTCCTAAAAATTTTTTTGTTTTTGAAAACAAAAAAGTAAATATGAATGTTTATATGTATATTGTATGTATTTGTTTAAATATTTGGAAAATTGATTTCGTCTACCATTTTAAATAATACAGTAACAAACTAATTGCTATTATTTATAAAGTAATATGATTTTCATTAATGTGTATATGAAGTTATTTAGCAAAATATACATACATACAAAATATTTTATATGTCATCATCATCACAATCATGATAATCATCATCATCATCACTTTATTCAAATAACATCATTCTATTTATTAATAAGACAAACATAATATATACATAGTATACTTATTTTTGTGTACATGATGTAGATATGTAGGCATATAACACGCAAGTTAACACCGCAATCGCAATAGTTGTTTTTTTTCCAAGTAAAAAAAAAGCTTCTAATTGTAAACACAGCATAAGTACATATAAATATTGTTACGCAATTTTGAAGGTTGTTTTTCTATTATCATACATATATGCACATATACATACTTATATCTATGTATATATGTATAGTGTTTTTTT